TTTTTATATACTTTCTTGATACATTTTACTTTACTTTTTCGTTTTAATATAATTTTATTTTACTAATGGAATTTTATTTAGCATTCGCTCTATTTTTTAATGTATTAAATTGTTTTTTGTTTTCTTTTAAATAAGTTCTCTAGTTTCATCATTTTTAGTTTTATTTTTGCTATTCTTTTTATCATCTTTTAGTTCTATTTTCTATTACAATTCTCGTATTCAAATAAAGCTTTTGAGGAGTATTGATTTTGAGTCAATATCTGCGGTGTTGGGCCAACAATGAAAAAATTTGATGTTTTTTTTTGTATTTTTTTTACTATATTAAATAAAAAAAGACTGTTTTTATCCACATGTTTGTTTTTGTTTAATTCTTGTTTTACTTATTTTACATCATATTTGCATGATTTTTTTTTAATTGTGGTATAATTTATACTAATTTTACTAGTTTATGCTATACTATTTTTATTGTACTCCCACTCTATATTCTAGCTTCATTTTTTTGACAGCTATACTTTGTTAAGTTTTGTTGTTTTAACAGAATTGTTTACATTTTCGTATACTATTATTATTGCTCTATTGTGTTCTAGCTCTATGTTTTCCACAAGAGAGTTAAAATTCTGTTTTTTTAGCACTGTTGTATTAAAGCATTATTCTTCTAACTATTTCTTAGATTTTTTAAAACCTATTTTTTTTCTAAATATTCTAAAGGAAAATAGAAATTTTGAGGATCTACTCACGTTCTACTGCAGCTCTATCTAGCTCTATTGACTCTAGATTTTATTTAAACTCTATTTTTACTTTTTTTATTATACGAGTATTATTTCTGTTTTATTTTATGCCATTTTTGGTACTAGTTTACTATATTCTAGATTGCTATATTATTTCTACTACACTACATATTCTAGCTTTTTTTTCTCAACACCTATGCTTCGTTAATTTTATTCTGTTTAACTCAATTTTTACTTTTTTAACAATAGAAAATTTAAAAAAATGCTGTATTCTATTTAAAAAACTAGCTCTTTAAATCTAAACTCCAGGCTGCATTTTCTATAATGTAGTTTCTACTTAATTTTTTTAATTTTAGCTCTATGTTATTCTTGACAATACAGTACCTAAGTTTTTTGTTTAATTGTGTTATAATTTATACTAATTTTAGTACTAGTTTACACTATACTATTTTTAATGTACTCACATTCCATATTCTACTTTCATTTTTCTTAATAGCAATAGTTCGTTAAGTTTATTCTGTTTTAACTCAATTTTCTTGCATTTTCACATATCTATTATTATTTTTTACTTTTTTTACGATAACAAATAAAACAAAAATATTGTTTTCACTCACATGTCCAATTATTGATCGTTACAAATAACAAAATTCAAGGAAAAAGCCAACTAGATGTTTTTTTTCCATTATTTTCCAATAACTCGTCCTCTAACTAGCAATTAAAAATTCGCAATAAAACTAAATGAACTCCAATAGTGATTATTTTTACCTTCTAGCGATAAATTCTTATCATTGTAAACACCTTCATTACACGACTTTATCAAAAAACAAAAAAAAATTCTTCAATTTCGCTTGAATTATTATTGATTATTTGTCTCTGGGCCATTATTTAGCGGATGTCATCAAGCATATTGCACAATGGCATGTCTACGTCCCATAGTTCGCATTTCCGACTCTTCGTTTACATTTCCTGCTAGTGATTCAATCTCAGATATTGGAATCAAAAACTCACCATTCGTGAGTTGTAATAGTTGGAGTTTTAAGGCCCGAATCTCGGCCGTCAAACGTTCCACTTCTTGACGATTCTCTTCTTCGCGTTGTTGGAGAAGTTGCTGATAAGAGAGGCCGTCGGAGTGGCTGACGACTTGGTTTGCTATCACAGTCGAACCTGAAAACAAATAAAAAAAAACTGAGAATTTTATCAGAAAATAGAGCAAAAATCGGATATATAGCAACTAGTGCAAATGTCGAAAGAAACGTTTAAATATAGAGTAAAAATATAGAGCTTCACCTATTTCAGTTATTAAATCTGGTGTGAACATCACACGACTTTCCTTATCCTACTTATTTGGAAAACATACCAATAGCGACAATAATTTAGTGTAACGGTAGCCATTATTATTATTATTTTGTTACATTTTATTGTTAATTAAGGTATATTTCATGATTCTGAATAATTTGTATCTACGGTCTTACAGAAAGTTTTAAAAAAAGAATAGTACAACGAAAGAAAAAATTAAGAAAAAAGTAGATAATAAGAGAATAAGAATTATTCAAAAGAAATAAATAATAGAATATAATCAAAAATTTTAAGAAAAACTAAAAATATTTAAAGTAAAAAAAGCAAAAAAAGATGAAGAAACATAAAAAAAGAAAAACAAAACACAAGGCTAAAAATAAAAATGTTGAAAAAATAATGAATGTTATTAGATACTAAAAGACAATATTATTTAGCTCGTAAATTTTGTTAGAAGTTAAAACTTGAAATTAGAAGGTTTGAAGTTTAAAAATATTTAGAAAAATTAGAAAAATAAAACGAAAAAATCTGTAAAAAATTGTTTAAAAATTTTACACATGCACAAACATGTGAAAAAAAAGACCGAATTTTTTGCAAGAGTGTGTGCAAAGTTAAGAATAATAATATTAGGCAAAAAGGCTAAAATTAAATTAGAGAAAAAAAACTAAATAGAAAATCTGAGAAAAACAAGAATTCAAAAAATTAAAAATTATAAAAATCAAAAACACTACTTCTGTAAACAAAAATCGAAGAAACCAAAATAAAAAAGTATGAATTTGAGGTAAAATGGAAATTATTATGCAAAAACCTATAATTTGAGAAAAGAGTTGATGCAAAAAGGCTAAAATTAAGGAGAATGAAGTGAATAAAATAGCCCAAACCAACTTTTTTGGTGTCTTGAAGCTATAATTCCCCAGAAAGGTAAGTCAAATTTCAGCCGATTACAATACTTTCCTTATAGGACAAGAAAAGTAAAAAAATGTATAGAACAATTAAAGAATAAATCTAAATATAGGTACAAAAAACACTTGACCAGAAATAGAATAAATCTGATACAAAATAGCTATTAAAACAAATAGATCTAGAATATGGTTAAATAGTACTAAAAATGGCTAATAAAATTCTACAGTTAAAAAGTGGTGAAGTAAAAATAGAGTTCAGATGAAATCTAGAATTAATAGAGAAGAGCTAGATAGAGCTGCAGTAGAACATGAGTAAAGCATCAAAATTTCTATTTTCCTATAAAATATTTAAAAAAAGATAGGTTTTAAAAAATCTAAAAAATAGTTAGAAGAATAATGCTTTAATACAACAGTGCTAAAAAACCAAAATTTTAACTCTCTTGTGGAAAACATAGAGCTAGAACAAAATGAAGCAATAATAATAGTATGTAAAAATATAAACAATTCTGTTAAAACAAAAAAACTTAACAAAGTATAGCTGTTAAAAAATGAAGCTAGAATATAGAGTGTGAGTACATTATAAATAGTATAGCATAAACTAGTACTACAATTAATGTAAAACAAGTTTGAAATAAGCCACAACTAAACAAAAAATTTAGAGATAGTTTAGAATATAACAGAGAAATTAACAGAAAGCTAAAATATAGATAAAAATAGAGTAGAAAGTATAGTATCAAAAATGTAGTTTTGAGTTTGAGATTAATAGAGCTAGTTTTTTGAGTAAAATAAAGCCTCCTCTAATTTACTACAGCTAAAAAAAGTAAACAGTAAAAAAAGTGCTCAAACCAAATTTAAAATGTGTTAAAATAAAACAAATTTAATTGAATTAGAACATAACTTTAGCAGTTTAAAAAAAATAAAGTCAGGATAGAACAAATTTAACAAAAAATAAAGTATAACAAATTGAAATTCTTACTACAAGTACTGTTATGGTCAAATAGAACTAGAAAGTAATAGAGAGAATAGAAAAAATCAAACTAGAAGTGATAAAACTAGAGGACATAGTTAAAAAAAATAAAATAAAACGAACGCTAAATAAAATTCCAGCAACAGAATAAAATTATATGAAAACAAAAAATTATAAAAGTAAAATGTAACATAAGTAAAAAAAGACAAAAATATAAAAAAAAACAAATTAAAAAATGTACTTATAAAGACCAAACAAATATGATGTAAAACACATAAAACAAAAATTAAACAAAAACAAACATGTGAATAAATCAATAGTTTTGTTTTATTTATTATAGTAACAAAATACAAAAAAAAACCTAATTTTTTTATTGTTGTCCCAACACCGCAGATATTTTGACTCAAAATCAATACTCCTCGAAAGCTTTATTCGAATACGAAAGATGTAACAGTAAAATAAAGCTAAAAAATGATAAAAACAGCAAAAATAAAACTAAAGAACTTTAAAAGAAAGCAAAAAACTATTCAAAACATAAAAAATAGAGCAAATGCTAAATAAAATTCCWGTAGTAAAATAAAATTATATAAAAACAAAAAACTAAAGTAAAATGTATCATGAACGTAGAGTAGATTTTTAATAAAAAAAATGTTAATAATGAAGAAAAAAACAAATTAAAAAGTGTAAAATAAACAAAATAAAAACAAAACAAAAACAAATGTTTAACTAATACAAAATAGAACAGAGCTAAAGAAAAAGAAATTTAAAGAATCAAGAAAAATAAAGTAGAAACGAATAATTACAAACAGAAAAAAATAACGAAAAAAATTTAATTGGAGGTAATTTAGTAAAAGCGCCTCAAGCTACACTTTAGGGCTCCTTCCTGAACAGTAAAAAGAATGCTCAAACTGAATTTAAAAATATGATAAAATAAAATAAAACTAATTGAATTAGAGTAAAATGTAAAACAAAAATATGAAAAAAAAACAAATTAAAAAATGTATATATAAAGACCAATCAAATATGATGTAAAACAAATAAAACAAATTATTAAGCAAAAACAAACATGTGGATAAAAACAATATTGTTTTATTTATTATAGTAAAAAAATTCAAAAACAACACCAAATTTTTTCATTGTTGGCCCAACACCGCAGATATTTTCACTCAAAATCAATACTCCTCGAAAGCTTTATTCGAATACGAGAACTGTAATAGTAAAATAGAACTAAAAGATAATAAAAAAATGATGAAACTAAAGAACTTTAAAAGAAACCAAAAAACATAAAGAAATTGAGCAAATGCTAAATAAAATTCCAGTAGTAAAATAAAATTATATAAAAACAAAAAAATTAAGTAAAATGTATCAAGAGTCGATTTTTAATTAAAAAATATGTTAATAATGAAGAAAGTCTTACAAAGACAAATGAAATAAAATAAAAAAAAACAAATGTTTAACTAATACAAAATAGAACAGCGCTAAAAAAAATAAAAATAAAATAGAAACAAATAATTCAAACAAAAAAAAATAACGAAAAAAATTTAATTGGAGGTAAATTAGTAAAACGGCCTCAAGCCACACCTTAGGGCTCCTTCCTATTAACCTCACTGTATCCCAGCTGTCAGAAACACTGAACATCGGTAGTTAATTATCTTTTAATCAATTCCAGCCTTAAGCAAGCCCAAATTCTCAAATAAAACACATTCAACTCGGTAAATACATTTATTTATCCCAAAAGGCAACCCAAATAACCAAAAATCTCAGACAAGAGTTGCACAACAAGCTTCACAACAACTTGTATGAGACACATAACACCATCTCCATTTTCTGATATCGCCGTTCCTATAAATTTCACAAGATCAACAAGAATCTTAAGTAGAAGTTTAATCTGAACGGCGACACCATCAAGAAGTCCAAACATGCCATCGCCAAGCGACTTGTCTTTGAGGTCATTGAGGAGGATCGTGATGGAATTGAGGACTTCGACCACATTCCCCAAAATATCCCTCAAATTAGATATAACTTTGTTCAAGCCATCTGTGACACAGAGCAAAGCTGTTCCTGCAGTCTCTTCGAAAAGTTCAGTTTTGACCTCAGCAACACATTCGTTGCTTTTAGTGTCAAGTTCGGTGAAGATTTTTCCAAGAAGTGGAATATCGCCCAAGACACCGCCAACTATATTGGACACAGTTTTCAATAAAGTGTCCACCAAGGTTTGCAGAATTTCGCCTATTAGCCCAAAAACTGAGGCAAGGATCCCTTCGATGCCCACTCCAAGGTAAGCAATGATGTAGTTAAGAGCCTCGACGACGTTGGCCAAAATTTTGGCTATGCCTCCGATGAGACCACTGATTGGAACTGAGGCTTGGGACGCTATAACCGGAAGTTCAAGTCCGGAACTGAAGACTAAAGCAGTCTAAAAATTTTTTTTTTGAAAATGAAACATCCACAGACATTGCCCTACCATAAAAATTAGTAATGTTGCAGAACCCATTTTTCACTAACTAAGACCCCAGTCAAGTCTAGTGACTATTTATACAGTATTTTTAATTTTTTAATAGTGGTAGTTAGTGTGATAAACGTATCGGTTGATTGTCATTGACGTACGACACTTATCATTAAAAAAAACAATTTAATCCAAATTTTTATTCAAGGTTTTTAGATAAAAAGCCTCATCTATTTCAATTATTTTCAAAAAGCATAATTAACAATTGAAAATATAGCTAGAGTGCGCAATTAACTAGTACTAGAAGCTAAAACTAGAATCTTATAATGATTAAATAAATAAACACAAAAAGCAGACTAGAAATAAAACTGATACACAACAGAGATAAGATAAAATTAAAAGTCACAAAGCTCTAAAATAGAAAACGATAAAACAAAGCTAGAGCAAGAGTGACAAAAACAAAATTTTAAATCTCACTGTAAATATTAAAAAATAAAAATAAATAAAATTTTATAGATCTAGAATAAAACAGTGCTAGAAAATGCTTCTAAAAAATTCAAGCAAAGTTAAATAAACTAAAAAGTTAAAAAAATAGAGCTAGAATTAAATATAGATGGCAAATATAGAGCTAGAAGATAGAATAGATGTAAAAGATGAATGTTGAGTAAGCAAAAGCAATACCAAATTAAATTGAAATTAATAGAGCTAGTTTTTTAATTAAATAAAGCTACATCTAGAATCTCAAAACATAAAGTTAAAGAAAATAGAGTAATAGTAAACATAAATCAAGAAAAAAATAACAAAATGTAAAAAAAACTGGAAAGATCTAAAATAGAGCTAGTTGTGAGTACAATAGAGCTAGTAGAACAGTGACATAAAATTTCAAATCTTCCTGTAAATATTAAAAAAGACCTAGAACTGAATATAGCACTAGTAAAAAAATAAATCTAGAAAAAAAAAAACAAAAACCAACCAAATTGCATTGATCTAGAATAAAACAGTGTTAGAAAATGCTTCTAAAAAATTTAGACAAAGTATAATAAGCTAACGAGTTTTTGAGAAAAATAGACTAGAATTTAATGTGCATAAGTATAGTAAAACTAGTATTGCATAATCTAGTACTGTAACCAGTATAAAATATGATTGGAATAAGTCACAACAAAGTTAAAAAAAATTAGAGATAGAATAAAATATAGATGGCAAATATAGATCTGGAGAATTGCATAGATGTGAAATCTAAATGTAGGGTAAGTAGAACTAATACCAAATAAAATTAGAAGTAATAGAGCTAGTTGTGAGTAAAATAGAGCTAGAAGAATTGTGAGATAAAATTTAAAATCTCACTGTAAATACTAAAAAAGACCTAGAATTGAATGGAAAATTAAGAAGAATTATAAATCTAAAAAAAAGAACAAAAATAAACCAAGTTGCATAGATCTAGAATAAAACAGTGCTAGAAAATGCGTCTAAAAAATTTAGACAAAGTAGAATAAACTAACAAGTTTTTGAGAAAAATAGAGCTAGAATTTAATTTGCATGAATATAGTAAAACTAGTATTGCATAATCTAGTACTGTAACCAGCGTAAAAAAGAATTGGAATAAGCTACAACTAAATTAAAGTTTAAAAAGAATAAAAATGGAATAAAATATAGATGGTAAATATAGAGCTATAGAATAGCATAGATGTAAAATCTAAATGTAGGGTAAGCAGAACTAATACTAAATAAAATTAGGATTAATAGAGCTAGTTGTAAGTAAAATAGAGCTAGAAGAATAGTAAAAAGACCTAGAATTAAATAGAGATTTAGTAAAAATTATAAAAAATAAACCAAATTGCATAAATATAGAATAAAACAGTGCTAGAAAATGTTTCTAAAAAATTTAAACAAAGTAGAATAATCTAACGAGTTTTTGAAAAAATAGAGCTAGAATTTAATGTGTATGAGTATAATAAAACTAGTATTGCATAATCTAGTACTGTAACCAGCGTAAAATAGAATTGAAATAAGCTACAACTAAATTAGGGTTAAAAAAATAGAAATAGAATCAAATATAGATGGCAGATGGCAGAGCTAGAGAATAGCATAGATGTAAAATAAAAATGTAGGATAAGCAGAACTAATACCAAATAAAATTGAGATTAATAGAGCTAATTGTGAGTAAAATAGAGCTAGAAGAATAGTAACATAAAATTTCAAATCTCACTGTAAGTATTAAAAAAGACCTATAATTGAATAGAGATTTAGTAAAAATTATAAATCTAAAAAAAAAACAAATTGCATAAATCTAGAATAAAACAGTGCTAGAAAATGTTTCTAAAAAAATAGACAAAGTAGAATAAACTAACGAGTTTTTGAAAAAAATAGAGCTAGAATGAGTATAGTAAAATTAGTATTGCATAATCTAATACTATAACCAGCGTAAAATAGAATTAAAAGAAGCTACAACTAAATTGGAGTTAAAAAAATAGAAATAGAATCAATATATATGGCAAATATAGAGCTAGAGAATAGCATAGAAGTAAAATATAAATGTAGGGTAAGCAGAACTAATACCAAAGAAAATTGAGATTAATAGAGCTAGTTGTGAGTAAAATAGAGCTAGTAGTAAAAATTATAAATCTAGAAAAAAAAATTCAAAAACCAATCAAATTGCGTAAAACAGTGCTAAAAACTGCTTGTAAAAAAACTGAACAAAAGTACAACACACTTGACAAGTTTTTGAAAAATAGAGCTAGAATTTTACAATAGCATAATCTAGTACTTTATTAAAATAAGCTTCAACTAGATAAAAAATTAAAATAAATAGAATTAGAATAAAATATAGAGCTAAAAAAGAAGTGGAATATAAATTTAGAGTAAACAAAACTAATTTCAAATAAAATTTAGATTTTTGAATAAATAAAGCTTTATCTAAAAACGCAG